TTATTTTATTTTATTTATTTATTTTTATTATTAGCATTCCCAGGACCGTATGCCCCTGCGGCCTTGTCAGGACCCGCGGCCGACAGGTCGTACTGCCGAATACTGCTATTTCGGTTGGACGTCAACGACGTCAAGTTCTGAAAAAAAATCTCTCTCGGTCATAGGGTTGGTGTGAATAAACTTTTGACAACCATCAGTCTCATCAAGTCTTTCAATTCAACGAAAGAGTCAGACTGCGTCCGACGTTGAAAATCATGGGCAAATACCCTTGTCAGGGTATTTGCCCGGACAGCGATTCGATATGAGATTAACCCTGCGTCCGCGCAGTTTTTATACTAAGTCTCGTGCGCGACACCTATCCGATTGCCGCATCGGAGAGTTATGGGATGGCTACTAAGGGACTAGGAGTGTTGTCGCGTTGTTTGTTTTGTGTCGTTCTGTATATGTATGTGTATATATGTGTGTTTTTATTTTTATGTTCTTTAGAGTGGTGTACGCATGGTGTGTGGGATGCGTCGTAGTCGACCGACGACGAGTCGCGTTTGGGACCTCAGCCCCCCCAAGGCGTCGGTTCGCGTGCGGGTCCGATAGAGGCGTAAAACTGCACATACCCCCTATGCTACAGCGAACGAGAAACGCCCTCGGCTGGTCCACCTCTGCGATTGTAGCTGATTAGCTTTTGTATTGTGGACTGGTAGCTCGACGGGGATACGCCTACCGAAGGGAGGTGACAACTCCCGTAAGGTGAAGGTAAGTTGTGCCTCGCGTAGGCCTTATCCTGTCGTAGGGGCTCACGAGAGGTATGGCTGGCGCACTCGGCCGGAGCGGCTTGCGGAAGCTCCATGTGTATTCGCGATGAGGATCAGACCGACTCCTGCGTGATGCGGCTGAGAGGGTCCCGCCCCGTTTTGTGCGGTGCTGGACCGATGCGCTCAACAACGTTACCAATCTAGAAATTGATGTTGGACCACGACCTCGTTGAACCGTTTAGAGCCATTCATCCTACCGCAAAAGCCTTTTTCCTAGTAAAAAAGAACCACACTCATCACACGGCTTTCTCGCGCATTGATTACTTCCTGGTATCGGAGACAATGATGGGGGTGGTCAAGGATGCAGAAGTACCACCCTTGGCACCATATCCAGGTCTAGATCATAAGCCGATTGAACTGACAATCAGCTTTGAACAATCGGTAAGGAAAGGAACCAACTTTCACAAGTTAAATAATTCCCTCCTTCTAAGTCAGAATTTTCAAGGAGGGGTGTGTGACTGCTGGCAAGAGCGGAGAGATTCCCGACTACCCACCCAGGATCGATGGGTATGGTTCCAAAAAGGCTACTCCGCCCTCTCGAAGACAGTTGCAAAAATCTCAAGAAAGCTATCAACCATGAGAAAACAAAGGAGGCAGACACTGAAATCTGCGTTGAAGATCGCAAAAACCAACCTGAGCGACAACCCGTCGTCCCTGCTCTACTATGAAATTTTCGAGAAAGCACAAGAACAACTGGCTATGTGGAGATGGTGGGACTTAAAAGGTCTGCAAATAAGAGCCCGAATGAACGAATATGAGCTCAATGAATCCATGTCGAAACACTTCTTCGCCCGCATTAAGTCCAACTCGCGGGCTAGTACAATAAAAAGATTAAAAACCCTTAGTGACCCGGAAGAGACAGTGTCAACCAGTGAAGGAATGCTAGGAATAACAAAAGATTTCTACCAAAAACTATATCAGACCAAAAACCGGTCGCCTACCTCACCTGCGACAAGGGAAGTAAGACAAAGAATGTTACAATATTTGGAACAGATGATATCAACTGAACAAGCGGAAGTTCAAGACAAACCACTAACAGTGGAAGAACTTCACCAAGCACTAAAGAGCATGAATAATGACAAATCGCCAGGGATTGATGGGCTAACGAAGGAGTTCTGGGAGAAATTCTGGACGCTCTTAGGGGAAGACTTGATGATCTTCTACAGGGACGGTTGGGTCAAAGGGGGTCTTGGCAATCTCATAAGTAGCAGCGTTGTCACACTGTTGTATAAGAAGGGAGACAAAGAGGACATCAGGAATTACAGACCAATCTCTTTACTGACGCTCCCTTGTAAGATTCTAGCCAAAGCGCTCGCTGCGAGAATTACAAACTTAACGGACAAATGCTTTCACATTGACCAAACGGGTTTCATTCCACAACAATATACTTTGAACAATGTACTGACCCTAAACGAAGCAGTGAACAAAGTCAGAGAAAAGAGGATAAACACAACCATACTCTTCTTTGACTTTGAGAAGGCCTACCACCAAGTCAACTGGTCTTTCTTGGATGCAAGTATGGAACGATTGGGGGTGGGACCGAACTTTAGGAAGTGGGTCCGAATCCTACACAATGATGCCACAGGCTGTGTACAGGTAAATGGGTTTCTGTCGGAGAGTTACCCAATTTCCCGGTCGGTTAGGCAAGGAGACCCACTTGCCCCTTCGATCTTTTTTTTTTTTTTTTTTTTTTTTTTTTTTTTTTTTTGAAAACGACCCGAGGTAGTGGTAGGGGTGCTGATAAGAGCAGACACCTCTATCACTCTCGGGGAGGCTCCATCTATTGGTGGGGAGCTGCACCTGCTGGAAGCCTGAGGACAAGGATCTGCAGAAGAAGGTCAGGAGGAAGTTCACCAGGTTGTGGTTGGTGAATGGTAAGGTGGCTGAGCTACGGAATGACCGAGTAGTTTGGAGAGACTGGCACAATTCAGAGACATCCCGGAGAGCCCAAATGGTGCCTGCGGTGGATAGGCAGTTGAGTTGAAACGAGAAAGGGTTATCAGCTACCAGGGAAGAGAGTCAAAAGGGCAGTCGCAGACGCTGCAAAGACTGGTTCAGACTGGGCATGCAATCAGAAGGGCCTAAGGCTACATGGATAATCACGGAGAAAGGGCAAGCGGGCGAGAGTACAGATCTACCACATATCCTGGTACAGGTTGGAACACACGGGACTGGGAAAACAGGTTATTATAGACGTTATGAATCTGAAAGTGAGAAGACATAAGTGACCATGGACTACAGTCTGCAGGTTCTAACAATGAAAGGGCAACAGAGAAGGTGTACCATTAGAAGGAATAGGGGAGGGGCTAGGATTAAAGGGTTTTAGCCAGCTGGTAGCGACTCAAGGGTTTAGGGTTTAAGGATTTTGGCCAGCTGGTAGCGGCTCAAGTTAGTGGAATATTATAAACAGGGTTCAGGCTACTGGATAGAGGTTACAGGGATGCTAAGGTGTGGGAGTGCTCGTAGTTGGCTACGGGCCTTTCTTGATCCTTTCGATGTAGCTGACAGGTTCCTACATGGGGCCTGAGAGGGAAGGACTTAGCAGGGCAAGCTGACAGCCAATCCTCCATATAGATGGAGCAATCAATGCTGATCAGGGTTCCTTCGGCCGTACGGAAGGAAGCGTGAGGGTGTGTTCATGTTGTATTATTCTTTTTGACTTGCCGGTGGAATAGGAACGGACTGATGCTCCCCAGAATGGAAATGGAGCCAGGGCCATAAGGACCTGTTTAGAAAAAAAAGAAAAAAAAAAAAGGAAATGACCAGTTGGCAGGGGTGGAACAGAGGTAAATCCTCCTTCCAACAAGGAGCAATCAATGCCGTGGTCTCAGGGTCCTTCAACCACAATGGATGAGATATCAGGCCAACGCCCGCAGACAGCGAAAAAGACATCGGAGAACGTTGGTTTCGAGGCAACTTAAAAAGGGTGGCCCCCTGCTAAGCAGGGCAATCGTACAAGGTAGTGTTGGTTTAAAGTTATCCCGCCATTGTGTGAGGTCCACCTAAGTGTGCTTTAGGCATAGCACACTACGAGGTTAAAATGGAGACAGCATGGGCATGGCGCCATATCTTGAAGGTCTCCCACCGGTCACAGCCAGCCTTCTTCTGTGAGAGAGAGACAGAGAGACACACACACACACACACAGACACACACACACACACCCACACATAGAGAGAGAGAGAGAGAGAGAGAGAGAGAGAGAGAGAGAGAGAGAGATGGATGTAAGACTATTATTATTTGGCACTCCCATACGTTGCTTCTTCTTCTTCTCCTCCCAACTCCTTTCATCCCCGGCCTTTCCGTTTGTCTATGTTTACAGCAGGAAGGAAGGTTTCTTCTTTGTTTGGACCCCTTCCTGGCTGGTGTGAGATCAGATCTGAGTCACATTGTCAGGTCAGTCCTATCTGATGCGAGTCTTTCACTGTGTCACATTACATCTCCCCTCATTCTTGTCGTCTGCACTTTGCATTGCCTCAGACATACAACAAGCATGCCTCATCAACCCTCACATGTCAACAAGTGCCTCGATACCACAGCTCTTGATCTCAATGATGGACCAAGCAACCCTTTCTTATTTGCAATTGTCTTTGGAAGACGTTCACTGCAGTGAGATTACATCAAATTTGCATCGTATGATCGTATCAAAATTGCCCTTTTCCTTCCCTTAGCTATTGACAAGTCTCGTGGTTTTGTTTACCCCTCTGCCAGTCCCCCGATTACCAAGCCATTTGCCTCGATCACCATACATTGAAAAAGATGCAATCAGCAAGCCAATCTGCTGTCAGGAAGAATAGGAAAGCTCAGGAAAACCAGCAGGAAACTCTTGCATTTTGCTTTCTCACCAGAACGAAAACACACTTTGGCCTTGGGGTTTGAGGCCCCTTTGATCCATTTTTTCACTGTTTTTTTTTGTTGCTGTTGGTTTATTTGGTGTCCACTCCATGGACTGGTGACAAGTCTGGCTTAGAAGGTGTGGGGCATTTGTTATAATAACGCTGAAAAAACCCTGAAAACTTAGGGCTCTGTTAACCGCTTCTCAGCCCCCCCTGTACCACGCCATTTGGTCCAATCACCATCCATCAAACCACCAGTACATGGCCATTACATCAGCCGTGGGCCCCTCACTTTCGAGTTTCGGAGGCCCGAAATGCGACACTGGCTATTGATGAAATTTATCAATGGCGCACAGGCCCCAAACTTTTTGGAGTACGCGATGAGTTTCTTTTCTGCAAGGCTGGGGCTGTGTACTAGCGGTTTAAGAGGGATGCAATCAGCAAGCCAGTCTGGCGTCAGGAAGAAAAGAAAAGCTCAGCAAACCCAGCAGGAAATGGCTGTGCTATGCTCACCAGAATGATTACAGCCTCGCCCTGCTCTTCCGCAGACTGAAGGACGTCAAAGAGCCATGCAAACTGATCTGCTGGATCAGGTTCCTTTGTGTGTGACAACAACCAGAAGTTCAGAATATCGCAGTACCTGGCAACGTTTACGAATTTTGCACATTTTTGTCCCTCAGTTAAAGGCAAGTTCAAACTCTGGTCAAAGGGCCAAATGATCAAAACAAGTTCCGTGTACGACGACAAGCTGTCAATAGCTCAAACCAGATTGGCAGAAGAAAAGACTAAAAAGTTCAAATTGACAGCAAGTAACATTAACTCAATTGACATTAACATAATAAGGATATTCTTTCTATTTAAAAAGATTCCCCAAATACCGGTATTTGGGGAATCTTTTTAAATAGAAAGAATATCCTTATTATGTTAATGTCAATTGACTTAATGTTACTTGCTGTCAATTTGAACTTTTTAGCAAGGAGAGGGAGGGGGCCGCGGCAGGAAGAATAACGGAAGTGGGGAAGGCCAGCAAGGCAGACTCCACAGGATAGCAATAGGCATACCATTGTCATCAGGGGGGTAATTGTGATACCAAACCAACAGTTTCCACTACAGATTATCTGAGAAAACATTCCTCAGTCAAACTTCAACTCGACCTGGAGTGACACCAATGCAGATCCGACCAACATGGGCATCACAACAGTGACTAAATATTGTCCAGTGACTCAAGTAACTATAAACTAAAAGAGAGCACTTTGTGAAACAAATGAAGAAAAGAGCTGACCATTTGGCACACAAAAACTTTTCCTGTGCATCCCCACTACCTGGGAGGACTTCTCTCTTTGCCGAAGTGGGGACCGCAAAGGCTCGGAGTTTCCCCTCCTGAATTGCCAAAAACTGGTAGGACCTGGCCTCATTTGCTCAGCAACTGGACAGAAATTAGCGGCAATGTCATTTGCTTTAGGGGCCAGGATGATAGAAGAAGTTTCCCTTTTCAGCTGAAAGAAGTATAGGAACGGCAGAGGCTTACCTGGCTGAGAAGATTGTCTAAAGATGGGCAGGGTAGACTGGGTAGTTCATGAAAATGAATAAATTCACGCGCATAACAATGCGGCGCATTAGAATTCAGCACATTTTTCTGGGATGAGCCTGACTCGAAAGATTGTTTATAGATGGCCAGGGTAGTTCAGGAAATTCACAAATGTTAGAAAGTCAGCACAATTCTTTCGGATTAACCTTAAAGTAAGGGTTGTCTGGCCACAGACCGCCGACACTGCCGATGGCTTTTCAGCCAACCGGTAGGGCCTTCCACTGTTTTCTTTTTCCTGCTCAGCGTGCTGTTCTGCGCTTACACAGAACAGCCCGAATCCACAATAAAATTTTGCTACGGTGTTTTCTGTCGGATGGGGGGGGGATGTTGGGG